CTGAACAGAAAAACCCACAATCCTTTCGAAGTTTGCAATATGTGCAGTGCAATACAACAAATTTTGCTGTAAACCGTTAGTTGTTTTTTTTGTACTTGTATCTGTCTTGTTTTGAATTGTCCATGAAACAACTTTCTGTGTTTTCTACACTGTTAGGTCAAGCTCAAGTGGCAATGAAGATAAAGAAATTAAACATAGGTAACAATATTTTGCAATTATATGTGAAGGAATGATTACATTTCTGAGTCTAATCCATTTTTCTAAGTTTTATTTTTAAACATTATACTCAAACCTGTGTGAAGCAGACTCCCTTGGGGAAAGCTCTGGTGTTGGTCTGCTTAATACAGGGTGTCTGCTTTGTACAGGTTTTGGTAGAGACCATCATATGAGGAGTCAAAAGTTTTCATTTACACTAAATAAGGGAAATAAATTTGGGACTTTGGCCACTGACCTCTTAAAAGCGGAATTCCTTAATTTCTTTTTTTTTATAAACCTTTTCCAAGTATATTTTCTGGCTATTTTTGATAGAAGACATTGATTGATGCAACAACGATTGTTGTCTCTTTGACGTACTTACAAAAATAGACGCATTCAAAAAGCCACAGAATGTAGCTTTTTTCAGCTGTATTCTCTTTAAGTAACTAAAATATTTTATGATTTAACCGTTTTTGCAATTTCCAGAGTTAATGTGAAGAAATATAATTTGCCAGTTAATTTGCTTGACCTGTCAAAATGACTAGCCAACTGAAAGTTTGTCTGGACAAATGGTTATATTGGCTTTTGAGCCCTGCGATATCAAGTGGACACCATATTAACCAGACACCCTCATTTCTTGCATGTTTTTTTTTCAAATGCAGCTTTTAATTAACAATTTATGAATGAGGCTGAGTATCTTAAGAAGAATTATGGCACCCTCCAAGATCTCCGTTATTCTTCATATGATACGAAAGCCAAATTCAATAATTGTTTTATTATTCATTCAAAATAATTCCTAGTTTAATAATATAGCTAAAACATGCATGTCAAGTTCATCTTTGATAGTGTACGTTCAGGGTTGTTCAGCTCCGCAAATATTCTCCAAAGGGCAAATGTCACCCTTCGAGTTCAATGTCTTTGTGCTGTTCTTGCCATTTTATTTCACCTAGTTCTCACTCTTGAAATGAGTGAAATGTACGCCATTTTTGTTTTTACAACCAAAACAACTCAACCTTGTCCCCAGGTCTTCTCGGTCAATGGTGCATTAGCATACAAAAAGGCTGTACTTTTGACATCATTGGTTCATTAAATGCAAAATTCTTCTAAATTTGGTCATCATTAGCTGGTTATGGTGAATTATGAGTGTGCTTTTAGCTAATCAGAATTGGGGAAATATTTTGAATGAATAATAATGTCAATTAAACATTGTTTCTTTCATTTTTTTTCCAATAATCCACATTACTAGGTCAACCACACTGGCAATTCAGCAATTTTTTTTTTTTTTAGTGGGATATTCCTTGGCATGTTTATTCTTTCCAGATAGATTAGCTGTTTGTATTATAGTTTCTAAACCATGTGGTGTGGATTATTAATGGCATGATTTCATCACATGGCTCAATAGCAAAAACATTGAGTTAGATTTGCTTTCAAGTGTTGATGTTATAATTGGCATTTGGAGAATAATATAAGGAAGACTTTGACATTCACAATCGTATAATTCTCATTTCAAAGCAATGTTTGTAATATTGGGCTACATTCCAGAAAATATCCATACATGTGTGTACCATACCACGGATGGCTTTATGGAATTCCAAGGGTAAGAGGGGGTTTCTTTGAACTGGAAATCCAAAGGCACTGGGGGATACTTATGATTGGAATTAATGAAATTGGGGGGTAAGGTTAGATCTGGAATTTCCACATGGGACAGACAAGAGTGAATTAATTGAAAATGCTTAACTTTTATGGACTTAATTAGTTCAAAAATTAAGCAGGAACTGACAAGGCTGCTGACAACTGCGGGAGCAAGATACAAGACAAGCATCCATCAATCTGGCAATGTAGGCTGTACATAATACTCCAGAGCCATTAAAGATACAAAACATCATTTTTTTTCTCTTGTAAAAACAGCCTCATAAAAAAATTATTTTGTCCATTCAATGTGAAACATTTTTATTTCGACTGCAAAATGCCATTTTAATTTTTGAAGCTCATAGGATTGGGAGCGACTGCTGACCTCAAAGGCTCAAATTCAAGATCACAGAAATAAACATACACTCAATCCACTTGATTGTGATATGTTCCGGGTGTACACACATTCATCACAAGATACATGTATTCTTATTTTAATGTTTTGTACCAGTTTGTGGCAATTTAAAGTTAATGCAGGTTGCATCTGTTTAACACCAGTGAGAAGAAAACTTCTCTTTTTTGAAAAAAATGTTCATTCTAGAATTTCTGGGGATAACCCAAGGGCAGTGTTCTCTCTAAATTTTTGCTCAGCAGGTGAGGTACCAATCCTGGCCGTTTAAGCAAAAAATATGCGCCAGAGGCACAATTGTGTGGGGGAGGAGTGAGGAACATGGACCCACCTCGCTGGGAAATTTAGGAGGTAAGTCCTCTGAAACGTCATTCCCTCATTTTAAGACCTATTTTATGCGAATCAAACTGTTGTTATATTTAGACAACAATTTAAAAAGTTTGATTCCAATAATTTTACCAGTGTCTTAAATGTTTTCTTTCCAAAATGCATGGCCCATGAAGACAAAAACTGTGTATACTTTATTACTTTTCCATCAGGCCATCTGATATCCTATCAATGTAAATCCCGTGGGGGGGCGGGAGGGAGTGCGGGCAAGGGGCGGGGATTTGATGCTTGAGACTATCCCCCTGTCAGGCTTTTGATCGTGCGAAGCGACCCCGAGGTCGGGACATTTGACTTTGACCGACAGAAGTCTGGTATCAATTCAGAGGCAGTTACCAAGTCCATCCCTTGAGGCTTTCTGAAAGTCACGCTGTTGGAGAAAGGTGTGAAGGTTTCATTTGTTTTAATCGCCTTAATCCAATACTTTAAACTGTCATCTAAACAGATAATGTCTATTTTGAGAAAGTTTTTATCTTCAAGTTCCCATCTGATTGTAAAACTGGATTGAAATCAAATTCCACCATGAAAGTCAGAGGATTTTTTACGGGTCACTGATCCGACCTGTTCCGACATGTTGAGCAGATGTTATAAGGCATTTTACGTTTCATTAATATTATAATGGCACGGTCAATCTTCCTGGAGTGATTTTGTTGTTCAAAATAAGAGATGCCAGTGGAGAGAGAAAATACTTTAAATTACAGTGAGTAATTTAACGGAGCTTACGTTTAGTAAGGACGTACTTTTGAAATGTTCTTTTAATTCGTTTTATACAGTATTATAGTATTGTTTGTATAGATTTTTCCCCTGGGGTGGGGGCTTTTTTGACACTTTTGATTGACCTTTCGTTTCCCACCCTGGGGAATTTGATCAAAAACTTTTAAAATTATTGTCAAATCCCCACCCCTTACCCGCACTCCCCCCCCCCCATGGGGTTTACATTGATAGGTGCATTACGCGATGGTGTGATTTCACACAATTGACTTCAAATTGTATCCGATCACACAATTTGAGGAAAATTGCATAATTCGTAAAAAATGCTAAGTTCAAGTAAAGAAAAACAATGAATTCTAACTTTAATTAAACATTTTCCCAATCTTAATGTTATTTAAGGTGATTTACCACTAAAGAATTCCTTGCAAGACATCTAACACCTTCGATCCCGATATCTGGGCAGCCATTTTGATTTCAGAGACAAGCAGTGTGGTCAGGGGTGTAAGGGCATGATGTAATGTTAAGTAAGTGTCCTTTTTCTTTTGTGGGTCAAAATAATCGGACAAATTTAACTATTTTGTTTTAAATAGATATTTTATTATTCGTTTACATTCAAATTGCTCATTAAACAACATTAAAGTGGTTTTTCTCCTTTGAAACCTGGTAAAACAATGTAAATTAGCCCTGAAAAAATTGATAAATTATCGCATAAATAGTCCTATTGTAGCGTACAATCTTCGCGGAAAATATCGCACAATTTCTGATTTTTTCTCTCACCCTATCAGATGGCCTGTTCCATAAACTGATATTCAATCATTTGCTTGTGAGAATCGAATCGGATCACAACTTGCATATTTTTTAAAACAACTACTTAAAGGGACTGTGACACGCTTCTGTGCATGTGCGGCATCTTGATTTCTCTCCGGCGGAAGGTTTTTCAAGTTTACTGTCAGGGAAGAAAATCTCTTTCCATCGTCCCCTTTCGGCTAGCAAACTTCGTTGAAACCTTGTAAGAAGAATACTTGATCATCTTTGGGTGATTCTAGTGGTGTATATGTGTATATTTTTAAAAATTCATTGAGAAATTGAATGTTGACGTGAGAAGGTCCATGGGGAGGTGTATGAAGCGGCTCAGGACGGATGCTGCTTTCGCCTCAAAGCCGGTTGGTATCCAGAGGAAGAGAGAAAAAGGCAAAGAAACAGTGGAATGAGGATCACAAACGGATATCTGTGGCGAGAGATGTTTATGACAGCTGGAGGAAAATGAAGTGTATGTGTGTGTATTCATCAGACACGGCTTTCGCTCAACATCTTTTGTCCTTGGAGATGCGACGAAGAGCAGGGTAAGTCACTTCAGTTTTATCCATTTAACATAATATCTTTTCTCCCCCCTTAGTTTATACACGTATCATAAACATATTTCTCTCCCTCTAGTTTGCTTGGGATTGTGGCTTCCAAAAGTGGAGTGCGTGGCCGTGGAACCAAAGAAGCTCCTTTGAGTGTTCAAAGCCCGCGGAAGCGTCTTGATCTGGGGGATCGTCTGGCGAAATTCAAGGTAATCTTTGTTCACTTACGGAAAACTCTCCCTTATAAGCTATCTATTTGCTTTCGTTTTGCAGTTGCTTTATGTTTTTTGGCTAGTCTTCGAAGACGTTACTACATTTGTTGTTTTGGTACAGATCCTTTTTATCCTGGAGTAACATCTACTCCTTCCAAGTCTCGAGACGTGCCAATGCAGAAAACTCCTGTAGTTTTACAGAACAGCAGGTACTTTGATTGTATAATTCACCAGTCACTTATGTATCTATATGAATCCTAATACTGAGAAACTTGTCTTTGATGACCTTACATTAGTTCTTTGCTTATAATACTACTCTGCTAGCTTTATGGGTGAATGGAAGACATAGGCTAATCAGTTGCTGATTTTGACATAGTCATTTCTGTTTGCAAATTATTTGTCTGTCACGAATTTTATGATCATTATGATCATCCTGTCACTGCTTGCATCACTTTAATCAGTGAGTTTCAAGACAAGCAAAAGATAATCACTAAATTCATCTTTATACACCGTGTTAGGTGAATTTTGTGTGCTGTAATACTGCAGATACATATATGTTGCAGGTCAAATTAAACCTTAGGTTAATTCGTTTTTAAACCAGGTCAATTTGTTTCAGCCTAGGTCAATTTGTTTCAACCTGGGTCAATTTGTTTCAACCTAAGTTTTTTTTTTCTTTTTTTTTTTATGACGGCAAAAAAAAATTGCACCTTCAATTTTCTCTCTCTCTACCTCACCCATTACCTACCCTTTCACTCATAGCATCCCAATCTCTTATTTTTTTCAAATGTCATTGCTTACCTGGTGGGTCTTGAACCAGCGACCTTTGCTTTGCCTTAGGATTCACATCCTGATGCCTTATCTATTGAGCCACAGTGGCTTGGATGCAAATTTACCGGTAGGTATTTTTCTAAATTATATACAAAAATACATTTCCTTAAATTATGCAAGTAACACATGTGTGATGGGCCCAGTCCTCAGCCCTACAGGCCAACATGGCAGGATGTGTTGATTGCACTGTCTTTGAAACCAAATTGGAAGAGCTCAAGCAGTCAAAGAAAAGAAAGAACAGCAACACATTATTATATATAGAGGATAACTTCTTTGATGAGTGTAAAAGGTGGCTTCAATCAACACCTGAAGAGAAGAAACATCTCAATATCGACAAACAAACAAAACAGAAACTTGCAAGAAACAAGTGGAGTCGACATGTCAAGGAAAGGTGACAGCTTCAGATAATAAAAAAGTAGTTCCAAAGAGAGACATCTATAGACTATTATGTGAAGCTCACACAGCAACAGCTCATCGAGGAAGAGACAAGACAGAAAGATACCTAAGGAACTACTACACAGGAATCTCTCAAGATGTTGTCAACCTCTTTGTCTCCCTCTGCAAACTGCACCAAGAACAAAAAAGTGTAACAAACCACTGCAAGAAACCAATTTTAACTCCAATAAAAGCAAACCAGTTTCTTGGTCACGTAGAGATGGATCTCATAGACTTCCGGAATTTGCCCTGTGAATGCCATTTGAGGCATCTATGGGTACTTCATGTTGTTGACCATTATACAAAGTTTTCATGGCTGTTTGCTCTCAAAAGAAAGCAAACTGAAGAAGTAGCAGGAGCATTAACTAATTTATTTTGGATGTTTGGTTTTCCATCAGTACTTCACTCAATGGGAAAGAGTTTAAAAGCAAGACAATGAGTGAACTGTGTGGAAAACACAACATTAAGCAAGTTCATGGGGCACCTTGTACGCCAACAACCCAAGGACTGGTGGAAAGAAATAACCGCACAGTCAAAGAGAACGTTCTAAACATTTTGAAGGAGAGAGATGAAAGTCTCGGAAAGAAGTGCACAGTTCTACGTGAGGCGGCATACAAGAAGAACATAACTTTACACAGGGCAATAAACAAAGTTCCATATGAAGTTGTGTTTGCACCCAAGGAAAGAGACACCTGGAAGAACAGAAGACGATCACATCGAGGAAAGTGAGCAACATACAACCCAGGAAAAACAGAATTCACCCAATTTGCTGGCTTCTGAGCTAAAGACCCCAGTTCTCAAGATGACCTTTTGGCACCTTTTGAAAATGCAAACACAGGACAACCTTCTGTGGCTGACTTACAAGTGGAACCTTCAGGTGAAAACCCCAACAAAAGCAAGTATGCCATCCATGACTGTGTAAGAGAAAACCAAGAAAGCTACAACAAGAAAATGAAGAAATCGAGAAACAAAGTGGAGGACTTCAAAATTGATGAATTTGTTTCCATCAAAATAGATAAAGTAGACAAAACTTCACCACTACATCTAAAGGTACTGCTTGGAAAAGTTACAGAAGTTGATGACAACTATGCTAAAATAGTTACTAAGTTTGGAATCATTTCAACATACATTTCCACTAGCCGACTAAACTAGTGCAGACAAACAAGTGTAACGTTTGATTACTCAAAAGAAATCGCTTTTTCTGCCGCATGCAAAATGGCTGTAAATCAGTAAATTACATGCTATTGTACATCTACCTCCATTAATTTCAAGTAAAATTATTACTTTGGCCAAACAGCTGTAGTTGTGATACAACGAGAATAAACATGTAGAAAAATTAATTAAAGTATTCTGAGTTGTCCTCACTCACCCGACACCAAGTTTTTTTTTTTTAGTAAATTTGTACTATACTGACAGCTTAAAAATTAACAGCTGGGACAAGTAATGTCATTTTCGAACATACTGATGAGGTGCATTTAATAATGTGTTTATTATTAATTGTTGCATTACTGAATTCACCCTCAGTACACCTCAAACAAACATGTTGAAAATGAATCTTACAGTCTGGGACTCAATATTGAAATATACCCTAAATTTAAATCATTATAATTAAGGACTATGCATGTTTTATAGCCTTAATATGCGATGTCAATTCTGTTTTTACCATTTAAGTTTTGGCAAGTATTGAAAGTGCAAGATCTAGCATGCACCAATGCTATACTGGTGCATAGAATATTAAAAGTAAAAGTTAATGGTAAAGATTGAGTCCTTATTATACAGCATTAGCTCAAAAACAGTCATCTGATTAACAAACCTGAGGCCGACGGTGCGCTCATTGTACCCCCTTTTTCTATCAGTTCTCTGTTAGACAGGTATTTCAATCTACTTAAAGCTACAGGGAATACAGAAAGTGAAGAAGTCAAAAGAAGGATTTGTGGTCATATCTATTAATCAAACTTTATAGGACTTTCCGCACTGAGACTGTGCACTTAACAACATAGCTAATCCTTCCTCCTACTGAACCATAAATCTTGCCCCACCTATAGTTCTATTGAGGAAGTAATTGCCGGATCAAGACTTGTTGTACACTATATTAATTACAATATTTTACAAATACAGTTTTCTTGTTGTTGGTTAAACCACCCAGTAGTACCCCAACATTATGATTCGATCCCTGTTCTAACAGTATAATGACCCATAACTCAAATACTAACTTAATGGGTCTTTTAAAGTGTCAAAACTAATTGGCCTAATGTAGGGTGATAGTAAATACACCTTTACATCTAATTATAACTTGGTTTGGAACAAATTGACCTAGGTTGAAACAAACTGACCTAGGTTAAAAACAGATTGACCTAGGAAACAAATTAACCTACAACATATACATATACACCACATCAATGGAAAAGATGTTTTGCAACATTTTGTGTTATCTAGATCTTTCAGCTGTTGGTTGTTGCTTCCTTTTCAGCTTTGATGCAGACGTTGATGTCACTGGCAGTGGAGTAACCACTGTTAGTGGTACGAGTTTCATTGTAGAGGAAGGAGAGGTCACTATTTTAGACAATAAGGATGATCAAGACAGTGATTCATACAGCGACACAAGTAGTGACAGTGATGATCCAACATTGTACGTTGCTGTTTGTTTTGTTTTTTCTTTTCAGATATAATTATTTCTTTGTGGCTCTGTTTATGACCATCAAAGTTGATTTAAACTCTAGAACTTATTTCATTGTTGTCCCCAGGCTGAGATCTAGATTCAGCACTCTGCCAGATTTTGAAGCAAGTCTAGAAAACAAAGACACATAGTTTTCTCAAAGGCTCAGAAAATTATAAAGTGTAACACTTACTTGTGCTTACTGAAACATGATGACTATTTTTACATGCATGTAAGCTATCTCGCTAGATCTGTAGTGCTTGTTTAAACCTCTGGGGATAGGAATTTGTTTTCTGATGTCTTTTATAAGGCTAGTGAATGTAAATATTCTTATCTGTAAGATGTACCTTTAATACTTTGATATAAGTTTATTTTTAGTTATATATGTATTTTCTTTTTCCATCACCCTTAGTGATTTGAATTATCTCGGTGATGCTCTACGGGAGCTTGATGAGGACCTTGACGATGACAGTGAATTATCGACTGACAGTGAAGAAGACATGTTCTACAGGTCAGTGAAGTGCAAAATTGAACTTGGTTATGTACTTTGTCACTTGAGAACAAAATTTTAGCATTATGGGTTACTGCTAGAACAAGTGCCTGGTGGTGGTTTCATGATAGATAAATTATCATGATTATTTTGTATGTTAAAAGGTTTAATGAGAATAAAAAAGGCAAAGCAAAGGTAATGCAACCATATTTTACTTCGATACTTTGTGACAGTGTACTCTTCTTACCCCCTTCTCTCCATCAATTTTCTGTTTTAAGGGTGTTTTAAGCTAGTCAAAGCTACTCAGGAAAGAGAAAAGGAGAAACTTGGATGTTATGTCACCAGGTATCAAACTTGGGACCTTGCACACTGAAGGCCATGTACTAGCCAACTGTGTCACCCTTGCTCCTTCTATAATATTTGGTATTTTTATTGTTTTTATTTTCTCATATCATGTAGGGAAGAGGAATCAGGAGATGAAATAAATTAAGTACCATGGGTTCGTCTGGAGCAACTGATAAGGACCAGTCAGCATCGCCATCGCCTCTTCAGTTATCAGTAGCTACACAAACAGATTCTTCAATAGCAGAAACACCTTCCTCGCCAGAAACGTCCACAGCCCTTCCCTCTTTACAACCAGTCCCTTCCGTGAAAAATGCCCTGCGTGCAAGTAAATTTAATCGTTTAGAAGAACAGGCTTACCTTAGCAAGGAGATCACTCTTGTTGTAGGAACAAAAGTTGTTTGTTCCCTTGACCTTCTCATACAGTTGTTTGCTGAAAATTGTCGTCAGCCTGGTTGTCAGCTAGCAACCACAGTGAGCCACACTCTTTGTGGCACTAGTGTTTTGATCAAGTGGAAATGTCCAGCAGGTCATGTTGGGAAATTCTGGAGTTCCCACAAGGTCAATGGGGCCCTGGCCAACAATCTCCAGGCATGTGGTGCTGTCCTTCTGTCTGGTAACAACTTTGCTCAAGTTGAAAGGTTTGCCAAGTTTTTGGGTTTGTCGTTTGTATCAAGGTCGACATTTTGTCGGGCACAAAGGGTGTATTGCATACCAGCTATCAATGAGTGGTGGACTTGGCAGCAAGGTATTATCAACCATGAGCTGCAAGGCCAAAGCCTTGTTGTGATGGGTGATGGCCAGTGTGATTCTCCAGAGTTTACTGCTAAAAACCTATGTTATTTTTTGATGGAGATGACCACTGGATATATCATTGATTTGGAGGTTCTTGATAAGAGAGAAGTGGAGTTAAAGTCTGTTAACATGGAAAAAAGGGCTCTTCAAAACATACTTGAGCGAATCACAGATGTTTTGATGGTAGGAGAAGTCGTTACCGATGCCTCTGCAAGTATTAAAAAAATGATGGGTGAGTTTAGAAATCAATGTACTTTTGCTTTTTACTTTGCAAACTTTTCCGGTTGACTCAAGACAAAAGTAACAAGTAGAACAAAATATTAGTTGTACCTAGTTGAACTTCCAACTTGATATTCAAATTAAATTATATGAGATCTTTTAGGTCTTGGCAGTGCCAGCTGCAGCTGAAATTAAGCAATTTAGCAAAACTATATATTAGCACATACATTTTTTACACCATTATTTTGAACCCTAACCAAGATACTTTGTTCTTGTTCTACTCACCCAACGTGGTGAAGAACCAAATTAATCACTCTTTCTCAAGGAGAAGTCTATGATGCATAAAGCATTAATTTATTTACAAGGCTGGGATTCTAAACAGCAAGGCATTTTTTTTAGTAATTGTTGTGTTTTTTTGGTTTCCAGGAAGTGCATTTCCAACAATAATTATTTTCCATTCTTTAGATGTATGGCACAAGGCCAGGAGCATTAGAAAATGCATCAATAAGGTACGTACACTGAAATCAGCTGTTTATATATGTAGTAAAAATATCCAGACCCCTTTAAACGATTACCAGCACATTTCTCGGTAAAGGTTACATAGATTAAAATTTTAACGATAGCAGTTTTTAAACATTTATTTGTGAAAGGTACAGAAGATTCACACACAATACATGTTCATGCCAAATCTATCATAAATTATATTAATTTTACTATCATTTTTATCTCAGATTGGCAGTGCAAAGAACATGGAAAAAGTAAGTCAGTGGGCAGACCACATAATCAACCATTTTTGGTACTGCTGCGAAATGGCCTCCAAAGAAACTAGCAGTGATGACGAGGCTCTAACGAAGATGAAGGTAATTTGCACATAACCTGCAGTCATTCCTCTCGCAAACCTAGTTCAGAGCTAAAAATATATTTTATTTAGGGTTTTACTGTTCTACACTTTCTGGTAAATATAATTTAATTTATCGTAATAGTCCAGTCTGCTAACCTTTTTTTGTTTTCCATGATCACTTTATAATTTATGAATATGAATGTGCTTGTTGACCAATGAAGTAACTTTGTTCAAGCCAAAATATTGAGAACTAAAACAAGTATACTTGAAAAAATATTATGAACAAATAATCACAAAATAAACAAAACTAAGAAGGGCAGATAGACATGTCATGTTTGGCAGCTGTAAAATGAGGCACATGGTCTCACACATTTTAAAAAATCTCTATTAAGTTGACGAGTATCCCTCTTTTTTACAGTACACTAATGCACATCAATGTTTCTCACCATGCAGGATAAATGGATTGGCCTATTGCACCATGTCTGCAATGACCATGATTGGCCTGGAGGGAGCTGTGACCATGGTGAGTTACCTGAAGACCATTCTCTACCATGGTTTGACAGGAGAGCAAAGGATTTCGAAGCACTGCAAAAGATCATTCTTGACCCTGCCCTGCTGGAGAGTTTCAAGTCAATTACATTAAATTCAGGTGAACATGGAGTTTAACTTCTCATTTCTCTCTTATATGCAGGGCTGTCACTAAGATTTCAAGATGCAGGGTACATGCTATTAGTAGGCAAAGACTTAAACAGCTATGAAGTTCTTTTGGGTTTATTTGTTTGTTAGTTCTGTTGGACATACTAATACACTGTAGCATTAGTGACAGCCCTATCTAAGTGAACAGTATCAGTGGAATCCATTGAAAATAAAACCTGTACTGTGGTTTTTCATTTATTGAATGAGGTTTGTGGTATTCATTGCAAATATTAGCGTAGTAAATTAAGATATTTTTCTTTTCATTTCTTTAGACACACTGGTGCTTTGGAGTGTGCTAATAGCATGTCTCTTATGTACACATCGAAGAAAGTGTCATTCACGTAAGTCACATCATTATTTCACTGGAATTTTTTTTATCTTTGTGCAGCATGGTTTAAGCCAACAGTTAAATGTGTTATTCATAAATGAACGGCAATAAATGACACCATGTCATATTTGACCTGCATTGTGTAGAGGTCATATAAAATGTTTATGTTAAAATCCTCCTTTGGGCTGTTAAACTGCTCCATAACAACATTATAATTTTATTTCTTGTTATTCGTGTGTCTGAGCACACTGGGTTCATTTACTAGCAAATGAACTGGATTGGAGAACTTACTTTTGGACATTCTCTTGGTATTTTTTTTAGTGGTTTTATACACCTAAAAAGATTGTGTGAAGTTTTATCATAATCACTATTTCAACTTATTGCAAGGTACAGCTGTAGCTTATCTTGCATGTTCCCTGTTATATAGAATTTCTTTATGTGACATATTCCATAACTTCTAGGAAAAAGGTTTACAGAGCAAGAAAGAAGTTGACTGCTATAGATTGGAACTACCACAATGATCTGCCAAATGCCACAAATGAGGATGCCGAGACTATTATCACAAGAAAGTATAATCAAAGGACGAAATCTTGGGATGTGAGGACAGTGAAAGTGTCCCAAAGACTACGGATACATTTGGATTCTAATGGCAAAGATTTTCAAACTTCGAGTTGATGATGATGATTCAATTGCACGGGAGGTTCCACTAGAGGCTGATGATCCGAGACTCATTGCTCCCACAATTGCAGAAAGTGAGCCTCCTCCATCTCATGAGCTCCTTGCAAGAAGGAGGAGTAGATTTTCACAATTTTCACAAACAAGTAGCTGATTAGCATTCCCAAAACCAAAGCTTCACCAATTGTAGCTTTTAGTATGTTTTTTGAGACAGTGCGAGTCCTAAATTGACACATTTGTGGCAGATGCAGATTATAGCACTAGTCAATGCTTGTTTAAATAATAAAGTGCTGCCACGGTTCATGGCTCTCTTTCCTTGTTTGTAGTGAGTGGGAAATAGAATCATTTTCTGTTTTTTTAGCTATTTTCTTGTGATTGATTACCAGCGACAGAAATGCAAGGGTTCACTGTACAATAGTTTCAATGTAGCTTGATTCCCAGGAAATGATTCCATGGTTCAAATGTTGCATAGTGCAGCAAGATTTGTTTAATATTGTAATAACCTTGCAATACCACGGTATGTCCTGTGTGTGATGTGATTTTTTTCGGTCTGATATAAACATAAAATAGTTATGGTGTACAGTATGGAGGGTGGTGATTTGATTTTTTGCCATAAATCTGTTGATTTTAAATTTAGAGTTTATCATTCCACTGTAAACAAAACATGTACACTAAAATACTCTTGGTTAGAATTTTCGGAGACAGGAAACAAGACTCAACTTTTTGCTTGTGTTTTTCAGATGTCAGTGTAACAATACTAGGGCAACCGTCTCTTTCAAAATGAGAGATACTCATGGTCATGTACGGTCTTTATTTCCATTTCAAAAGAAACTACAATGTTATGTTAATAATAAAAATTAAGGTAACAGCTCCATTGAGCTGCATGCAATAAAGTCTACTGGATTGCACGATAGAGAAGAGGAATTTTTTGGTATTTGGTATCGTCATGTACCAAAAAGAACACTATTCACAAACAGAAACTGATATAAATAAATAAATCTGATATAATATTATTATTTGTCCTAGTATTTATTATTACTTATTATTATCATTGTTCATGTAAGTTCCCCATCTTCCATCGTGTTCAAAATTTTTTCTATACTTTCAGACTATTTTAAATTTGGTCGATTTGAAAATGTGACACGAAACAGTAAAATGAGCAGGGCATGTATGACCCCTAATGCTTTACCTGCCCAAATTGACTCATGTACAAGTAAATGGTAGGGTTGTATCTAGGAAAAAGGTTTCTGTAATTTCTGCGAGATACCTTTTATCAGAGTGCTTTGTTATTACTTGTGCAGTGAACAATAAATTTCAAACAGAGAAAAATTGCATAGGGCCTCCCACTATAAACCTCTTCAAATACAGTCGAACCTCTGCTAATGGCCACCTGTTTTTGTTCCAGCTAACAGTCCATACATTCAATCTGGTTTAAAACCCCTCTACAATGGCCACCTCTTTACAATGGCCAGATTCTTCAGTGATCCCCAAGGTGGCTGTTGTGGAGAGGTTCAACTGTACATAAATCTGGGCAGTGTTTTAGAACTCCACTTCATGCTGAACAACTTCACCATGAGTGCTAATCAAAACAACTTCTTTTCCACCTAATGACTTGGCTTGAGATGGAATGACAATGAACTAATGTACAATAAGGCTGAATAATAATATCACTGAACTTGAACAGGCTCTATTGGTTGTCCCTGTGGGTAATCATGTTTTTTTGTTGTTGTTGTTGTTGTTGTTGTACTAGACAAGCTTTTCAGAGACTGTTGCTGTAGGGCGCTTTCCATTTAGGAAAAAAAACCGGAAATTTCGGTGGTAGCAAAAGTGGAATTTCCGATTGGTAAAAAGTTGTTCCATTTGGTCGTAAACCCCCGTACCCGACCGTGGACCTGGAACTGGTACAAACTACGAGAAACGTAAATGGAACACGAGATTCCGTTCGGAAATTCCAACCGGGAAAACGGGACCGCCTTTTTAGATTTTCCACTTTTTCTGGGAATTTTCCAGTGGGACGAACCGACGAAACGTGTTCCATTTACCGCCGAACCGGAAATTTTGAGTAAATGGAAAGCGCCCGTAGTTTTTTCTCCGGAGACATTTCATTGCTGTCGGAACCCCATATATATACCCGTCGCAGAAGGGTAGTGTCGGCGAATGCAAAGTACACAACAAGAGGGAACAACTTTCCTCTTCCTTTTTCCAAGGTAACCATGGGTGTCTAAAATATAGTTTCTATATGCAGCCTTGCGGAAAGTACGGCTACTACTGTCCTGTCTGTCATTGGGGATATCTGCTGTATTTTTGGCACAAAGCAGTAAATATTTTGCGTCTAAGCAAAGTTTTCGAAAGCGCCTTGTTTGCGAAACACAATTTCTTCGCCCACAACACTTGTTCTCCATGTCTTGCGGCAT